AGCACTCGTTAGCCATTTGAGATTAAGCCAGTCACGTGCTACGAAGGCAAAAGCAGTGAATAAACATTCACCGATTGGATATGCAACCAAAGAAAGACCAGCAGCAAAACTTGTATGTGAAGATGATGTTAGTTCCATGATAAGTAGAAAAGCTATACCATAGCCGTCAATACCTGATACAAGCTGATTGATAATCAAGAGAATAAACCTAAAGAGAATTTAGTTCACACATTATTTTCTTATCACTTAGTCATAGTTATTTATGATATTTACTTCGTATTGATATCCATTGTGACAAATTGAAGGAGTACTTGAGTAATACCAGTAATAATATAAAGTCCAAGACTCAAAACTTGTAGGATTTCTCTCCGTCCAATTCTATCGCTAATCGGTCCAGTAACTAAAACTGTGAATCTATAAAAGCAAAATGAAATTCTGCTATGCAAAATCAAACGACAAGAATATTTCTCTCACGTTCCAATTTGATAGACTGTTGAAAGCCATGTTTTCTTCATTGCACTGCTACAAATGAAATTTGCTTCTTCTGTAAATGTTCTTCCGTAAACACTTTGATCATAGACAAAATCATGGCAAGATGTCCCATTAATATTTTCGCATTTTGACGACGGCAATAGATATGCATCGAGCAAAGCTTGATGAGTAGCATTAATTGATTTATATTGATTATCATCAGACCAAATATTCGACGGTAGTTGACACCGAAAAGCCGGCTCAGCAAGTCCAAAAACATAGTAAAATCCAGTTATGCCACTGCTAAAGTTGATAATGCACAAAAAGAAAAAATGAATCCATTGATATCGACCAAAATCACCACAACGTCTGAGTACATTTTCCAAATTGAGCTCATCCATTGTAATACTATTCTTTTGGATTATTGTATTTTGAGTACGAATGGTTGAATTGATTTCTTTGTTTATCTGTACTCTAATTCATAGAATATCACATGTTAATCAAAACTTTATTTTCGTCGTAGACAAAAAATCGGAACATGTTTACAGTTTATTTTGAAACTCTAGTACATTTTATATATCACATGTTTTATTTATTAAGATTGATATTTACCGTCAAATATCTTTTCACTTTCTGTTCTTCTTCAATAGTCTGTTTTTACGTTCGTTCTAATCAGTATTCATTCTTAACTTTCTTACTGTAATTTAGTCCTGGTCAGAAAAGAAAAGAAATTACACCATGTACTTTCTAAGCACCAATAGTAAAAGTATATATTAGAGTCGCTTGAATCTAACGGAACGGTATATATGCTCTTCGCTGAAACATACTTCGTCGAAAGTACTTTTTGGCCATGGAGGGCGCCCCAAAGGTGCGGGTGAGGGCAAAATAAGTTGATCTCTTCATGCTGAGCACGCCCATATAAGAATTAAAGGGTTCGCAACAATCTAAAGCGTCCTACGAGTCTTTCAACGAAGAGGGTTACAACCAACGGAACTGAATAACTAAAGACAGCCTACTTTTTCTTAGTTTTGTTGATAACTCAGCTATTTTTTTTTCACTAATAACTCATCGAGATATCTCAGATTCTGACTTCAATCCTCAATGATCCTTAAAGTTTGTCATCGTTGTAAAATGTAATAGGACAAAACAAAAAGAAAAGAAAATTTGCTCAAGTTTCTATTCAATCAAATTATTTATTTTCATCTGATCCGCATGTTATTATCAAAAAACAATAGTCAGAAGTGTCCTATAAAATAGATTTGTATGCTCGAAAGTAACTGTAGGCTTGACATATATCTAATCTTTAACAAATGATAGGTAAGAGCAAATGTAAATAACACCTAATCCAGTACGAGGATCCCTCTATATGCAAATTTTTCATTACATTTCATTCTTCTCTTTGTCTACTCTGATCAAAAAAAAAACAATAATATTTTTGTATAGCCAATGTGCTAGTAAATAAGCTACTAGAGAATAAAGAATACATTATATATCGAAATGGATTATAAAGAGTACGAAAAAAAACAACGATCTTTGTAATTAAGTATAATTTGCAAGGAAATCATTTGAATAAATCAAAACATCAACTCTTTTAATGATTAGTCAGTCGGATATCTGAGCCATGTATGTATAAATAATATTACATTTAATGGAGTTTTGAGTCAATGCACGTCAGAACCTTCGTTAAACACCTTTTTTCATGCGTTTTAATGGCTAAAGTTTCAATAAAATATGCTTTAGTTTTCGAGCATGTATGGAAGCACATATAAATTTTAACTCTTTTTCATGTGTACCATTATTGTTTATGATTAGGCCATCATTTTCCGCTGTGAAAATCCAAAACTCATTTGTGTTAATTTTCTTGTATTGTCCAACTCCTAACAATCAATTCTAGTTTATCTACCATGAAATATTGCACTTGTGCTTTCATGCAATCTGATGAAATATGAATGGCTAACATACAATATTGGTTAAACTTACGGAAAGTATTGATTCAATGTCTTAATTGCCTAACTACTCTCAAAACGATAAAATAATTGGTAAATAATTCCATAAAAAAGCTCATTCATTAGAGTTATATGGTATCGAAGGATTTCGATTAAATGCATGGCAATACAATGGATGCTGTGATGCATCATATGCAACGATGAAATATAATTATAGGTTGTATGAGTGTCTCAAATGGTATGGTGAAAGTTAAAAGCTTAGCCGCTTTCTGCTGCTGAATTGATACAAAGAAATATAGTTTCTAATGTCGATCTAGATAGGGTACGGATACGCTAGAAGATGACAACAATGCCTACATCCGCATCCACACACCTATAATCATACCCTCGATTTGATATTCTTGATCCTTGAGATTTTTCAGTTCACATTATGTAGATGTTTCGAGTTCAATTCCTGAGCATAACATTTGAAATAAGAACCCAGATCGACAGAAGTCAAACTATGGTGAATAATAGTTAACTCATGTCGACTCACTTTCTATATATTTTCATATTTCACTTTTCTAGATAAACTTAAAGAGTGTAGTTGAATAAATAGAACACTCATTCCCTCTTACTGACTTTCTTTAATATCAAGACTCAATGATTTATCTCATTATGCCTTGCTTTTGATAGAATAACAAAAGTTATTAGTTTGCTTCACATTAGAATAAATAGTCTTTGCAATGACAGACCAGATGAATTGAGACATTGTGTTGATTTGATCATGGTGAGATCACTACAGCGAATGCTTAGACATAAAATTTGGCGTGGCTGAGAAACTAAGACTCACTTAAAATGCGTCATACATATGAAAAATCTGTAATTCTGCTGAACTTCCTCCCCTCCAAAATCTTAAAATTGGTTGCAGAACTTTGTGTCATGAGGCATGTCATAGGTTGGGTATCTTGTGATCTGAAATATCACACAATACACGATAGTGTTGAACCGCGATGATCATTATCAATGATACTCTAGCTATTTGGCGAGTTCAGATAAATTCTTTAGAGAAAGTCCAGCCAACTCTAACTTTCAACAATCTGTTCTCTAAAAAGAGTATCGTACTTAATCTTTTAGGGTTCTAGGTTTCGGTATGATTTACTGAACCTTTTTAAGTTCTAAACTTTTTTGGTAGAACTGTAAAAAAATTCAGAATATAGCATCGAAAAGGTGTTGGCTGCGTAAGGTGAGGGTGCCTGCACTCCTCCCGACTCACACCCACATTCACGTCCAAAGCATACAAATTTGAGTTGCAAATAAGTAAAATAACGGTTTCAACTTTAAATATAAAGAAAAAAATAGTTGATGTGCATGTTTGCTGTCATCATTCGTCTTGTTTGTCCTTAAATAAATTTGCTGGTAAATGAATTCTTCTCATAAACAGTTTGTAAAATCCAATTGGAAGTTTTTATGTTTTTACCCGTACAGAGAGGTAAGAAGAAAAAGCTAACAAAATCATGTCTTTTCCAATTTTTCAGAGTCACACCGAATAATGGAAGTAAATTTTTGTCCACCATTCAACATTTCTATATGCTGTAACCTTACCAAAGGCTGCCTAAATCGAAAGCACATGATGAGTCGATTTGTTGACATTTGTGTGAAGAATAAGAAACACGTTCTCGAGACTATGAATCAAGTAAAATTAAGGAAAGAATTATCTCAAATAGAATTCATCGCTAGACGCTAACTCTCGTTTTCTTTATATTCTGTTATCTTTCCCTACTGCATTTTACTTCACTTCATCCTTGTGCTCAATCCTTTCTCTGTCTTTTTTTTTCTGCGAACCAATCGACTGGTGGCGAGTCGGTGATTTCTCTTTCTCTTTTAACCAGTTGACTAGAGTGTGGGTGCGAGTGTGAGTATGAGCCTAGGTATGGATGGAGAGAAGACAGACATCCACATTCACTTTCAAATTCCAAATGCTACAAACATCAATTATCACCTATGACTTTTAATACGAGCATTGTAATCTTTGATTCTCAAATATTGATTTTTGTTTCAAAGGTCTCGTTGAAATCGATACTCCAGTACATGATAGTTTCAATCATATAAGATAATTTTCTTGCTATATACTCGAATCTAGATCGAAGAGAAGTGTTGTTGACTGCTATAACTTCAATGAGCTTCCGTTCTTGGAATTTTCTCTTAATTCCATTTTTGTTTTAAATATACGATAGTTCAAGCAATTTGAAAAAGTACTGAAGTCGGTGAATGGTACTGTTAGAATTTTTCTATCATAGAGACCGTATTGTATAAGAAAATGAAAATGAATTGTTGTCAGATGGATCATCTAAAACTCACAAACGAATTTTATTGAACACTTCTTCAAAGGAGTAATCAAATGCTAGATGTCAAGAGATATTCCATAGTGAACGATGAGCGATTTCTCTCAGATGAAGTTTTATCGTTTTCAATGATTACTTTTATATTTCTTAACTACGAAGACGAGCTTTGAAGCAGTATATAATTAGATACTCATTTTATGTAGAATATTAGAGTATAAGTTTTAAATCTAGAGTGAACAATAATATACAGTCTTGTGAGTTAGCCGAGTGCAGCTCGAAACTCGTTCATAGAGAAGTTCGGATCAGGCTTGCGACCTGCAGGTACTGCTGCTTCCTTGTGTCCCAACACTCGTGAAGTAAGTACACCGTAAGCTGCTTGAAGAGCTTTCACACCACGTACATAGCTCTCCCATTGCACTTCGGGCCAGTGCTTATGTCCTACATTATCGGCTGGAGTGCCAGTGGCCTCAGCTTCGATACCAATGGAGTTTGAATTTCCGAAAATTGAGTCATCGATCGTAGCGCCAGCGTGATAAGAACGACCAGCTGCGATGACGTACCAAGTTCCTGAACGACCCAAGCCGAGTTGTGAAAGAGGACCAGAGAGATCAGGACGACCGTCTCGCACTACTCGTAGAGATGGATATTCACCTGTGGCAGGACCCGCTGTGTGATGAATTAGAATACCTTTTACCGAGGCCATCACACCATGACCACGAGTCTTCCAGCCGGGTTCTTCGACCACATTGAGACCAGCTTTGCGAAGAATGTCAGCCAAGTCCGTAAGCATTCTGTTCACTGGTTTACTGGAGCCGATACCAGATGGATTGGAACCTTTCACGCAACATCGCATATTGGCAGAGCCAGGACAAATACCTGAGTGCGAGGTTCCACCACTTGCTTCACAAGCCGCAACATCCATGCAGTTATTACTAAACAGAAGATGATTAATTTCAGAGCATCATTGACAGAGAGCATCTTACCAAGTGCAACACCGGATGTGGCTGGCACCAGAGCAGAGACCCGCTTGAGATGATCCACCTCTGACAGCACACGTGGTAGCATCGATACAAGCATTGTCGGACCAGCATTTTGCACTGGTGGCTCGTGCGTGAAAGACGACGAGACACAACATACTAGTCAGAAGGCCATTGCGAAACATCTTGTAAGTATTGTTACTTGTGAAAAACGATTGAGTGGCTCGTAGCTGGTCGGCGATGCAATAAATACTTTTTGATTGCGAAAACAAAGGATTAAATTTAAGGCCTTTCAAAAGCCATTAGAAAATGAGCTTTAGCGGGCTATATCGTGCTTCTTATCAGGTTCCTTCTAATTTATAGCGCATCAACTACCGATAAAAATAGAAAGAAAATTAATCAAATGGGTATGAAGGGTAGAGCATATTTGATTACAGAGTGAATAGAAACAACCAATGCAATTAAAAGAATGCACATATTCGCGCCCCCTCTCACTCCTTATCCCGCGCCCAAATATAGCTTTAGAATGCATTCGGCAATTATTCATTAGCTACCTTGTGATATATACATCTGATGTTGAAAACAAGTGCTATCATCGTTGCACACAAATATGCTCTCAGAAAGGATGAATTCTTTTGGAGTGAAAAGTGTTCACTATCAGAGAATATCATCGCTATCTTTGTTATCAGTTGATCGTATATCTGTTTGATCGTGCATCTGTTGCGTAACAGCAAGTTTCATTTTAGCTTTTTCTCACTCTTTATTTCTATCATATGTTTTATTGCGTATCATATCAGAATATTGACAGACACGAGTAATAAATAAATCTGAACGAGGTCATGAATTGAAGTTTTGGGGTCTATTTCGATCTACACACTAAATTTAAATGCGTCGTGTTTATGTGTCGGGAATTATTGTGTCGTGCACTCCAGCACAAAAATGTGTCGTATACGAATTTGTCGCGTTCTATCTGCTGACTAGTCGTTTACTGTTTTGTTATGCACACATAGCGATATATAAACGACGTGGTTGAACGTACAAAAAATAAATTTTCAAAATATTCTTTTTTTCTAGATTGTTTCTCGATCATTTTTTATCGAGAAAATACTGATCTCGATCCATGATCGAGAGAGGACTACTCTGCAGCGATCTGATGCAAATCTGGCTTACTTGAGTTTTTAAAATAGGAATAATTAAATAGAATTAAATTGGAAAAAAATTCAAATATTTTTTTTCCAAAAAAAACAATAGAAAATGTGTCGTGGTCTTGCTGGAGAAAACGTGTCGCAGTGAGCTCCTCGTGTCGTACTTCAATGTGGCGTACAAAGTGTCGCAAATCACAACACATGCGACACATTTTAACTTAGTGTGAATGCTCCACTTTATTCTGATCTGATTGACTAGAAAACACATGGAGAGAGCACAAAGAACGAAAAAACAATCAAAATACGAGAGAAGAACAGAAAGAATAGAGATAAATATCACATCTGAGATATTTTTTAAAGATATGCCGATAGAATGACTCTTCTACTCTATTCAAGAAAATTTCAATCCGAATTCGATTAAAGTCTCGACCAATGCTCTGTAAGGATGGATTTTTTTATTTGATTTTCAGTCTTTATGTTTAATTAACTACAATTTATAGAATTCACTAAACATCATGTTATTATATATATCATCATCTTTTTTTTCTTCAACTTGAACACATTGCCTATTTTGTCATTGTAACGTGCAATTAAACATCGAATGGACACAAACTAATAGGAGTGCAAGGGCACTTATATACATAAATAATCTAGAAAAAAACGATGTTCAAATGGAGACGGCTTTGAAATATGGATGTTGGTGAACGGCTTCTGTTTATATATACGCCTACATCAGATCCGTAGTAAATATTAAATAACTTCTAGCAATTATGATAAAATCTCTTCGAAATTTCGCTTTGACTTCGATTCAAATTCTTCATAGATAAACATAAAATGATGGTCCTTGCTCACTGATTATGAGTATTACTTTATCAATAACGTAAAAAAACATTTAGTCAGTCAATATGTATCTAAATTATGCAGTTCTCTTTTGCAAAGCTCATTTAATGATCAACCGATAATAATACTTTATTTTAAGACCAGTTATTATACTTACGCTTAAGAGGGAATCGCCCGAGGTATACAACGCCGATTCCCTTCATTCATACATCGTTTGATAGAGGGCATCGAGATAGTAAAAAACCTAAAAGAATTTGTGCTGACGGCTCTTTCTTGAAAAGTTAGGGCCATTTTTCTGTTCTTCGCAGCTAACATGGCCAAAAATTGAAAACCTTACAACTCAGTCAAGAAAGACCGTATACACATGAAATTTTCATCACTACAAGTTTACACACACTGCTGATCGATCTGAAAATTTTAGATTGTTTGGAGTGATGGAGTATATCAGCTGACTGTAATACTTTATACCATTCATCATAACCAATGTACTTACTCTCAAGGCTTTTTATTCATTTACAAGCAAAGACAGTTAAATAATATCATATATTCCCTATCATCAAATGTTAATACTCATGTAACAAAGGGTGGAAATGAAAATAGACGAGATATAATTATTTAAAAACGAAAAAAAGACAGCACTATAGTCAACTGCAGGAGTGTACTTTTTCATGCGAAGCTAAAATCCTGTAAGTCAGGAATGAAATGACCAAACAATCTAAAACTTTCAGATTGATCAGCAGTATATGTGAGTTTGTAGTGCTGAAAATTTCATGTGTATACTATCTTTCTTGACGGAGTTGTAAGGTTTTCAATTTTTGGCCATGTTAACTGCGAAGAACAGAAAAATGGCCCTAACTTTTCAAGAAAGAGTCATCAGCACAAATTCTTTTAGACTTTTTATTATCTCGATGCTCTCTATCAAACGATGTATGAATGAAGAGAATCGGCGTTGGACACCTCGAGCGGTTCCCTCATTAGAATAAGATCGAATCTATCTACAAAAAAAAATTACATTTATCAATCTATCGAACTATCAAGAAATTAGTTGAAAACAAAAACCATTGTTCATTTAAAGTCATGTTCTTTTTCAGGTTATAAAAAAGGAAATGGTTTACAATAAACATTTGTGTAATGTAATTGATCATGGATCACTTTTCATATGCATAATATGTTTGATATCTTCTATGGATTATGCGTAACGTCTTGACCAATTTCATTGATCGTATCTTTATTTCGTTCCGTTCTTGATTATGTATCTTACTTGTACTGTAATAAATGCTGAATAAAAATATGGACACAGCGATATAGATGCATTTGAAAACATAAAAACATGTATAACAGATGTCATCAATTCACCGCCATGAATAGTTATCAATAGAGTATAACTGAACATATAGGCACGAATAAATGTCAATCGATCTTTGCCTATTTTTCATGATAGATTTGCATTAAGAGTCGAAAATATTTTGATGTATTTCGATAGATTCACCTATTCACTATCTCTTGATAGGAATGCAAGTTAGTGATTCCAGTAGAAAAAAAACCTATCGAAAAATTCATTTCGAGTTCGTTTACGTATTGGATCTTATTCTCGATTCTGAATTGTGTTAGAATGAAATTGAAAATAAGCAAGAAATTCTATCAGTATTCATCTTGCTACATAAAGTGAAGCCTTCAGAACAATGAGATAGCAAACAGGAACTCGTAAATGCGCCTTGTGAATTGCGAGCAGAGGCACACAATGTGATGACAATATTATCAAGTGTAAACGAACTTGGAATAATGTTCCTTTTTTGTTCATGCGAGTGAGAAATTAATAATAGATGACAGGAACATTGAAAATTGTCCTGGTCTGACAAGAGAAACGCTTTTTCAAAAGTCACGAAAAAGAAACACAAAAACTTACTACGTTTCGTGACATTCATTGTACAATTAAAAGAAGATCAGAAAATTTTGGTTACAAATAAAATACTCTTCCTCACTACTTGTCAACCAACACCATCGAGCATCTCAATTCGGTCAAATTACTAGTATTCCATCTGATACTTTGACGTATACGAAGAGATTATTAGTTAGCGATCGTCCATATCCGTGGAACTTGAAGTTACGACAGTAACATTCATGATCGGTAGTATCGAATAGTGGATGTCGTTGCATAATACATGAATTCTCCTTTGTCAAAAAGATTATAGATTCCGAATCAAATATCGTGACCTGATCGATTCTCAACGGTAAAATTAACAGAAAATATTTGACTCTCTTTTTTCACAACATCACTGGCTTCGATTGTCGATAGTCGATACGGATAATTCGATATTGAAGTGCACTGATCTGGATAACAAGATTCGAAATTACACAAAAAAAAATGTTGTGAACAATGAAACACGTAATTTATCATGGTAATCAACATTGGAACCATCGGAAACTAACTAATCCTTGGTTATATTCAAGCGAATACATATATGAATTGTCTCCATCGGTAATAAGATACTGGCCAAGCATTCAATCATCGCTAGATGGATCTTTGTCTAAAATACAAACGACAATAACGTATCAATTTTTCATCATCAACTTGTATCAATTCAATGAATGCTAAACAAAACGTTTTATAAACAGGCGTAGTATCACAATCGAAAGAAAGTAGTACAATATGTCGAGATCTTCAACCATTCAATGATTTTTATTTCAGCAAACGAAAAATAGAATCTTTTCAGTGTAACGTTAAACAACAAGTAATTAGAACTATGATCAACAGTCGAATGTCATTTCGAATCTATACTGAAATAGGTACATGGTATTTTCAAGTTTTATTACAACACATAGGATTGACTATAAGAGAAGCTATCACTGAGAAAGATTGTTTGAAACATCGTAAAAGATTTTTTCGATACTCATTAGATAGTTTCTCTTTATAGATTAATCATCAGACTATGCACACAAAAGTTTACATCGATATTGGTGAATAGCTCAAACTGAAAAATAGAACGAAACATGAACCAGAAAAAAAAGAGAAATGAAACTAATATTTTATCGTTTTTTTGCGAAATAACGAACTTTTGCATTCATCACATTCCTCAACAACCTTCTGTACCACTGAAAACATGTTCTACTTACACAACCGACGTTACTGGTTCTCGTTTAGTTTTCATGACTAGTGTTTCGAATGAGAAACATGCAAACATCCTCTAATTTACGAAGCT